AAAAAAAAAAAAAAATTAAAGTTGTTAAAATTTCAAAGTTGTCCAAACATAGCCACTACCTGACCATAACTAAATCTGAAAAATTTTAACAGTTGCTACTTTTGTTAGATCTTCCAAAATAAATACCGTGGTTTGATTTACTAATTACAGAGGACATCTGGAAAGCTGATTATCCACACATTCTTTCCCTTTTGTTAACAAACTTCAGTAAAGATTCACTGGGAAAGTATTCCTTAAGGACTTCATTGATTCCTCTGCTTGTCTTTGGGGATTTGGCATTCCCGCAGCACAGTGGGATAAAATATAACCTAAAATATGTCAGGGCAAGGTACATTTAAACAACTGACAAGTAAATATTTGTGGATTTTCTGTAAGACCAAATTCCTGCTTATGGACCAGTTTATACTGGAGAGGTATAACTTCAGACACTACTGAAGGGTTTAGAACCAGCTAGACTGTGAGATAATCAAACTGGGGGAAGCAGAGTCCGCATTGCAGTAAGGAATTCCAATAGCACAGAGTTACTATATTCCTGGACTATCACTGTGATGCCCCGGGGCAGGGTATAGATAAGATTCTAGATAAACTCTGGAAAGACTTGGTAATTATCTCAGTGTGGAGACAAAGAAAAGAAACCACTCAAGGACAGTCCCACCATCTTGACTGTAAGAGCTTGGAAGGATGGTAGCACCACTCTTACAAGTAGAAGAAGCTAGGGAAAGATAAAAATTTCTGTTTCAGAAAAATTGAGTTCAAGGTGATAACAAGATTACATGTTCAGAAAATATTACCTGGACTGGCATGTTGGCTGCAGCCAATATTCTCCTCTCTTCCCTTAAACAATTTGAAATAACCACAGCTACATGCATTGGATTTCCATGAAATTTTCCCTAAAAGAAAATGAACAAAAGTAATTAACAGAAATGCTTAAATACATGCATCATAAAAAAAAAATCACTGCTTGAAAATCAACAGTCATCTCCCAATAATTACATGAAATTATTTGGGATTTGTTCCAACACTCTGTTCTATTATAAGCTACAGAAACTCACACTGTGAACATAGATGCCTAAAGAGAACACAGTTCTCTCTTTGTCCTCAAAAATCACTTTTAACAATTAAAAGCAGTTCTTGAGCACCTCTTAGAGAAAGACTCTGAACACGTGCTCAGGAGGATCAGTTTGCTTTTGGCTTTGGACAAGTATTAAATAGAAGAGTGACTTTCCCATAAATTCCCAGGAAGCAGGTGGTCCCAGCTGTTCATTTAAGTCTATGCATCATGCGTTGTTTTGGTCCCTATTTGGTGCTGTTCATGTCAACTACCTCCTAACTGTATTAGTATACTAGAGGGCAACTATACCACACATTTCACTGATTTTTTATGATATCTAAGCATAAACACCTTTGACTGCCAAGGTGCAGATGTTGTACACTGGCAGCCTGTGGGCCTAATCCAGCCATCAGGTATGATCTGTAAATTAAAATCCTGGAATCCTGCAGGTGGAGCATGTCCTACCCAGGGTCGCCATAGTGTACACTAACCTTGTGTCCCAAAAACTCATTTCCCTTACCTGCAAGGCCTCCGTGGGTGTCTGAGTTTTCCTAACCCTCGTGTATAGGACTAATTTGAACACCACCATCTTTTTTTTCAATAATGGTAAATGTCTTTCTTGCTCAATTTCCCCTTAAGGCTGGATTAATAGGAAGCACAGTAGACAGGTACACTTACTCAGTTTCCCTCTGCCCTCCTCTCTCAAGGTGGTACTAACATCGACGAAATGGCCAAAAGACCAAGAGCAGAAAAAATAAAATCATAATCCATGAAATGAAAAATTAGCTATTAATCAGAAGTAGAAAGAAGTGGTGAGGCCAAAGGGTCTTTCTAGAGAAAAAATAAGGTTATTGGCTGTTTTGTGGCTTTGACTGCTGCCCCAACTTTAGTAGATGATTAATTAACACTTCTATTTGTAAAACCAGGGTAGACACTCCCAACTGTCTGGTTTCCTGTTCTTACCTATTCTACGGTCTTAAAAACTTTTTCCCCTTTAAATCAGAAATCTTCTAAAGAAAAAACAAAAATGAATTAACTGAAACTCACAGGGTATAAAAATGAAAATGATCTTATTATTTAAGCAGGGTTACCAAGTTTCTGATTTCTGCATGTTGACAATTTCAGGTTCTCTCTAGTTAGAACTTGTTCCTACTGTTGATTTCCTGCTTCTTGATTTATTTCACATAACTTACATTTAGCTTCCAAAGAAAAACTATATTTTCTCATTTTGTATTCAAGGTATTTAAAAATCAACCCATTGTTAAAAACAAAGGGTTTCTTCTATTTTAGAAGCTCTGTTCTTAATGTAAAACTTGAAAACTCTTCCTGTCCAAGATCAAGAGTTCCTCTAAGAACCCAAGAATTACCTTTTTTTGTCTGCTTTTCTCTCTGTTCTAGGAGTATTTCCATGTTGATCATTCAGATACTACCTTGCGACATTTCTCAGTTCTGTTGTACACTTTCTCATTTTCCTTTTTGACCTGAACTTTTACCTTCCTTTTCAGATTCAGTTTCCTCCACACATGGAAGGTTAAATTACTCATTTTTTCTCCTTCGTTCAGAGCCAGGCATCACCCCTGTTTTCATCTAGGATATCTCTTTCACTTTCCTTTTGCGTTTTTCCTAACTTTAATCCCTCACTTAAATATATGAGACAAAAACATATTGTGGAAAATTGATCACTACAAGACCAGATGACCGCTTTTATTTCCCTGAGTATCAAACATGTACTCATGTTCACTGTTTAGTAGTTACCAAGTACCCGGACCTCCAAACAACGGCAACAGAACAGATCTCTATGTGTGTGTCGTTGCAAGGTGGGAAGGAAGAGAATCCCTGAGAAAGAGAAGCTGCCCGTTTCCCATTGCGTACCTGCCTCTCTGCGCTTCTGTATTGTACACACCTTCTTGCCTCTGGCTTGTCTTTTCCCTATTTTCTAGCATTAGTAAACAGAAGTTTTTAATTTTAATAAAGCCATTTATCAGTCTTTTCCTTTATGGTTGTTCTTTTCATGACTTGTTCAAGAAATCTTCCCCTGGGCTGCACTCATGGAGATTTTTTCCTATATTATCTTTTTAGACTTTGTGGTTTTGCCATGAATTGTCATTCACTTGGAGCTTGTTAATAATCAGAGGCTCCTTTCGCTTTTTCCACCTGGATCCCCAGTTCCAACAGCAGTTGCGGAACCTCCCGTTCTTTCGCCACCACTCTGCTGGGCCAACTCTGTCATGAATCAGGTGCCCAAATGCAGGGGGACTTCTTTCAAGACTATCTTACAGCTCTAGCTCTGCTTCATCAACAGATAATTACTACAGCTTTGTGATAAGTCTTGATGGCAAGTGGAATATATTTCCTTTACATTTCCTAATAGATTTTAGAATCAGTTTATCAAGTCACACCATCTCCCCACCACCCCCCACACATACACACATTCTGCTTGAGAATTTGAATGGCACTAAATCTTTAGAGAAATTTAGGGAGGCTGCATCTTTAAATTGTGTTCTAATCCATTTATTTAGGTCTTCTTTAATGTTTGCTGTAAATAGTAATTTTCCATGTAGGGATATTATACATCTATTATTGGGCTTATTTCTATGTACTTGGTATTTTTTTCATACTAGAATAAATATCTTTCTTTCCTAATTAGTTTTGGCTGGCATATTGAAACATAATGAATGTTTGTATATTGATTTTGAATGCAGAGACCTTTCTAAACTCTTATTGATCTTAATAACGTATTTGTAATGTCTCTTATCAATTCAAAATTTTTATCTGTAGATTCATCTGGATTCTGTGCACACACAAATCATATCTTGTGCAAATACTAATAGAATTTTTCTCCTTTTCAGTTATCTAATTTCCATCAGGATTTTCCCTCTGTCCTAAGACTTTAGACATTTAGAAATGTATTGATTAATTCTCAAACATAGAAATTTTATATTTATCTTTTTTCTTTTTTTATGGATTTCTAGTAGATTCCCAGATGTCAATCACAGACTTCTAATTCAGTTATTTTTTTTTAAATCAGCTCAACCACCATCCATTTACTTTTGTGGTTCACTCCAAATAATACTTTTGAAGAAGTTCTTATTCTGAGACATTGTTTTATAGTTTAAAACTAAATATGATGGCAGTTTTAGCAATCGGCAGTTAGATTTAAGATCACAGTGATATGCTGCTTTTTATAACTTGGATCTATAATCTTGATCTCCTTAAAGAGATCATTTTGCATTGACAATGTAATTTTAAGCCTTGCTAAGGAAAGCCAACCCCCCATCCTCTATCATTAAGCACATATTTTCATTTTTTCTCAATGGCATGGTGGAAGTTAAGGGCATTCTGTTCAGGCAGCAGGATATTGTATATCTTAATGACAATACTGTGCAATGCATGAGTTGTTTACCCAGCTCTTATTGTGCTGAGATTTCGTTCATCTATTTCTTTCTTATCTATTATAAGAGATTTGGCAATTTCTCTTGTTATTGTTGCTTTGGGTATGATAGGAAATCTATTTTGCATAAATTTCAGTAATAAAATATACTATTTTGCCACGTATAATGTGCTCTTGTGTATAATGCACACCCATGTTTTTTCCCCAAACTTTCAGGGAAAAAATCTTTTGTTTTAATTCTAATTTTTATTTGCTTATATTTAGGCACTTGTTTCTTTGAGGCATAAACATATATAAATAATTAAAAACATTTATGTAGATATGGAATTAGTACTACAGGTATATAAAGCACGTCTTTATTTTTCCCCTCAAAAATCTGGGCAAAGAAGGGCACCTTACACACAGCAAAATACGGTAATACAACTTTATCTACTTGTAGCATTTTCCTTTCTTATAACCTGCTTTAGCATTCTATTGTTGCTTTCTAAGAAAATATGAAATTTAAGATCATTCATCCATTGACAAATATTTGCTTAACAAATACCAAAGTCAGACCCTGCTGATTTGTTATAATCGCATTCTGCGTACATGACAACTATTTGTTTTAATCCTAAATCAAAGTGTTACATTTTAATAATATTTTAAACAGCAATTAAGCTCAACATATGTTGTATCAGCAGTGCACATAATTCAATTGAAGGGACAAAACATGAGTAGCCACGACCTGGTTTCATATCACAGCCAATGACAGTGCTGTGACTGCACCATGGCATCAGCAATTAAGAGGTTTTATTGATTATAAGATGCATTCTGATTTCAGAGATGTTAAAGTGTGGAAAAATGCATTCTAGAATCAATGAATATGCTCTTTTATTCTTTTTATGCTATTTTATGCTACATTTCTTGGTTTTGCTGCAAATTCCGTTTCTACTGCCCTTCCATCTAATTTCTAAATTTGACTTCTCATTAAAGAATAACTAGTTCATCTGCCCTTTTTCTTCCAAATGTTAGTACCAGAGTCAGAAGCAAACCATGCGAGAAGGCCTGCTTACAATAATCTCCTGCATTAGTGGAGGTGACACAGCGATATCACAGTTCGGCATTCACTCTTTTGGGTCCTTTCCCCAGTAGTCCTTTTTGAAATGTAAAGACACCTGAAAGAATTAACACCAAATTTAACCAATTTCCCCTGTGTGGTGAAGGATTTTTTGGGTGGTGGTGTTCTCTGGCTCCAGTGGCGGTTTCATCCTGGAAACCGCAGGATGAGAGTAACGAGGCCCGGGTCAAATAAAGGGAGAAGTTTTAGGAAAGCCCTGAATGAGGAAGGCATTAGTGATCAAAGGGGATGTGGGTTTTCCCCAGAAACCAACCCTGAGACAAGGATTCCAGTGCATTTTGTTTAAGTGGGAGTTGATACCAGGAAACATTTGCCAATACCAGTGGGCAATTGAGACAGGAAGAGAAAGTGGCCAGTAAATGGTCATCAAACCATTTCCTGAGATGAATCCCGGAATTCAGCATAGACCATGGGACTCAGAGCTAGCTACTCTAGAACTCTGGGAGCAAGAGTCTTTTTATATCAGCTCTTGTCATCTATCATTATAGATAAAAAAAAGGTAGGATGCTGGCAGTTGCAATTCTACTTGAAGTAAAATGATAAGGCCAAGAGGACATGGGCAGGACACCCCCACCTCTCCATCTCAGCTCTTCTCCTAACCTCAATTTGAAGAATTTTTACCTCTTATTCTTTTAACTTTCTGCCATTATGCTGTACTCAAGTGTCAATTAGGTTATGAAGCATTCGTCTCTGTTTACAGAGTAAAAGTAAAATTCTTTCACTTTTTAAAATTGGAAATCTGAAGTCTCCTGCATACTTCTTGGTGCCAGCTAGCTCTCTCCTCTTTTATTATCATAATTACTGCTGTTAAGTGATTTTTAACCTTGTCCAATGTCAAGTGCATTGGCCAGTTTCTACATAATAGCATGGTCTCAACGTCAGTTTCTTATTATTTTCTTCTTTTTATTCTGAGCATGTGATTCTTCTTAATGGCTTCTACCTTATCCTTTCTCACCAGAGTCAAAAGTATATGTATACAGTGAAAAAAGTCAACATGCAAAATTAAAGAAGAGCTGACCTACTTGTCTTAAGTCTGTTTAATGTAGAGTGGTAAAAAGTAATTGTCTTTCATAATTAAAATTGCTTAGCACACTAGGAAGAGAAAGAAACATTCTCAGGTTGATAAAGGACAGCTACAAAAAAAAAATCCTACAGATACTATATTTAATGGTGAAAAACTAGATGCTTTGCTGCTAAGACCAAGAATGAAGCAAGGACATCTCATTTTGCCACTCCTGTTCAGTATCATATTAGAGTAGTAGCTAATGCAATAAGGCAAGAAAAAGAGAAAAGGTCTATGAATTGAGAAAGACATAATAAAATCATTGTTGTTCACAGATGAAGTGATCATCTACGTAGACAATCCCAAAGCATACTCCAAAAAACCTCCCAGCAACAAATAAGCCACTATAGCAAGGTTATAGGATGCAAGGTCAAGACACAAAGGTCAATTGCTTTCCTACATAACAGGAACAAACAATTGGAATTTACAATCAAAAACGCAAAAGCACTTACAGCACAAAAATGAAATAGGCATACATTTAACTCTATATAAGATATATTTGAGGAAAATTATAAAACTCTAATTAAAAAGATCAAAGAACTAAATAAGGCCACATGTGGTAGCTCATATCTGTAAATCCTAGCACTTTGGGAAGCTAAGGCAGGAGGATCACTTAAGCCCAGGAGTCAGAGGTTACAATGAACTATGATAATACTACTGTACTCTAGCCTTGGTGACAGAGTGAGAACCTATCCCATAAAAAATAAATAAATAAAACAAAGAACAACCATGTTTTGCCGTGTATAATGTGCACTTTTGTGCCCAAATTTTTGAGGGTAAAATAAGAATGCACATTATACATGGGTACCATAACTTGGGTGTGGGGGAGCCCAGTGGGCTACCACCCTCCCACCTGGGCCTGCCAGGTGCACAAGGTTCCAGCCTAGGAGGATCCAGGATCCAGTGGGAGTGGGCCGGAGGGGCCTCTGCTGAGTGTGGCCATCAGGGGAAGGGGAAGTGGTGGGGATGGCGAGTCCAGCTTTGGCCACATGGAGGGGACTGGGAGGACTGCACAGGCACTAGGGACCCCTGGCTGCATGGCTGAGCAGCCTCAAAAGCTCTGGCCCCACTGGCCATGCATGTGCCATTCTTGGCTACAGTCCTGACATGGCCGGGAGGGAAAGGCTCCTGGGAGAGAGAGGCAGAGCAGCCTTCACAGAGCGGGCAGCTGCAGGACGGTGGTGCGATCTACGTGTTTACCAGGAGCGTGTTAGCCCTCTCCAGATGTCTCTCCCAGCCCAGAGGTGGCCACTTTCTTGGGGGGTGTTTTCCTGAAAGTTCGGGTCCAGAATGTGGGTGCACATGTTACACGGAAAAATACAATGAATTTCATGTTCAATTTTTACAGGAATCAACAGAGAGGAAGACTAAACATTGCTAATCCAACTAATCTATGGATGCAATGACTCATAATCCAAATCCTAGCAAGTTTTTTTTGTGGATATTGACAAACTAATTTTAAAGTTTATGTGGAAAGGTAAAAGACCCAGAATAGCCCCACAATATTGAAGGGCAAAAACAAAGTTGGAGGACTGACACCACTGACTTCAAGAGTGTCTGTGAAGCTCCAGTGATCAGTCAGTGTGGTGTCAGCAAAGAACCGACAAATAGATCAATGGAACAGAAAGGACAGTTCGGAAACAGACCTGAAAAGACACAAAGGCGACACAGCGGAGCAAAGACAGTCTTTTCAACAAACGGTGCCAGAACAGCTGTTTGTACACAAAAACTGAATCCAGACACAGACCTTACGCCCTTCACAAAAATGAACTCCAAGAGGGCCATAGACCTGAATGTAAAATGTAAAACTACAAAACTCCCACAACAGGACACAGGGGAAACCGGGATGCTTTCGAATGGTGATGACTTTTTAGACGACACTGAAAGAACAGATTGATCGGGTGAACTTAATTAACATTAAACATTGCTGCTCTGTGAATGACTGCTCAGAAATAAAAAGTCAAACCACAAACTGGGAGAAAATCAATTGCAAAAGATAGATGTGATAAATGCAAAGTGGGAAAAGAACTTTTAAAACTCAACAAGAAGAAAACAAACCCAATATAAAAACGAGCCAACTACCAAAGAAGACATGCAGGTGGCAAATAAGTCTCTGCAAAGATGCTCTAAGTCATGTTATCAGCAAAATGCAAATTGAAACAGCAACGAGGTACCACTGGTGACCCATGGATGCCAACACCACCAAATGCTGGCAAGCATGCAGAACAACGGGGACTCTCATGTACTGCTGGTGGGAATGAAAAGTGATACACCCATTTTGGGAGACATTTTGGCAGTTTTCCGTC